CGGGCGGGGTGGTGGCAGCAGCAGCAGCAGCAGCAGCTGCTGCTGCTGCTGCTGCTGCTACCTCCCCGTCACCCAAACGATACAGGTGCAGCGTGCCCGTGTTGCTGCAGGCAGCAAGAAGGCTGTTGCAGGGGCTGATGCAGAGGCAGGTAATTATGGCCGGGTTCACTCCTGCAGCTCAAACCCTAAACCCTAAACCCTAAACCCTAAACCCTAAACCCTGCAGACCTCGCGAGTCAAGGGGCGATGGCGGGCGGCTCCTCCGCGGGGCGCGCAGGCGGCAAAAACACCGCGCCAGAGCCGCTGCAGCTTCTAGCGCTTGGCGCCTAGGGTTTAGGGTTTAGGGTTTAGGGTTTAGGGTTTACCGCGGCGAACTTCCTTGAGCAGCTGCCCAGAGGCTGCGGAAAAGATCCGCACTAAAGTGCCCTTGACAGAAGCAGAAGCTAAAAGAGATCCATCAGCGCTAAGACAGAGGCAGCAAAGTTCGTTTTCGTGCGCCGCTGCAGCACAAACCCTAAACCCTAAACCCTAAACCCTAAACCCTCGCCGCGCCCCGAGCCCAGCAGCAACTCGCGAGACCTACAGATCGACAGGCTTTGAATCAACGTTGAGTCCGGCTCCGCTCCGCCCGCTTCTGCAACTCGCAACACCCCAAACCCTAAACCCTAAACCTTAAACCCTAAACCCTAACGACATGGGGGATACCGCAGAAGACAGCAGCTGCAGCTCACCGTCAGGAGCTCCAGGAACAGCCTCGGCGGGAATACTGTAGAACAGCACCTGTGCTGTTCCTTTCTGCAATGCTGAAGCAGCAGCAGCAGCAGCAGCAGCAGCAGCGGCAGCAGCAACCGCAAATGTTCTTGAGAACAGGGGCGACGAAGGTGAGAGCAGCAGCCGGGAGACTCATTGAGCAGCAGCAGCAATACAGCAGCGGCCGCAGCACACAACAGCCTAGCAAGCAGCAGCAGCTGCAGCAATCGGTGCAGCAGCTAGCAGCAGCAGCAGCAGCAGGACCTGCATGCAGCTAACCTGGGCATGCAACAGCGAGTGTCTGTCTGTGCGGTTGCTGCGCTGCTGCCGCTGCTGTCTGGGCGGGGGGCGTCGCTGCTGCTGCTCCTGCTGCTGTTGCTGCTCCCGTTGCTGCTGCTGCTGTTGCTGCTGCTGCTGCTGCTACGCACAGCCCTGTGGGGTTGGGACATGTCATTACTGTGTCCACGAGGCTGAGGCCCCGCAGCAAATAAATACAGACCTTTTGCTCCAACACCACTATCAAACTGCAGACACAAACCCCTAAACCCTAAACCCTAAACCCTAAACCCTTGAGCCTGAGCAGCAAGCCCTTGATGCAGCACGTTCAAGACACACGAAGCACACACTGCAGCGGAAGTTGCGAAGCCAGCAGCAGCATCAGCAGCAGCAGCATCAGCAGCAGCACCATCAGCAGAAGCACCATCATCAGCAGCAGCAGCAGCACCATCAGCAGCAGCAGCAGCAGCAACGCAACCACCCCAACCACCACCCAAACCACGCCAAACACCCCCACCACCACCACGATCAGCAGCACCCGCAGCAGCACCACCACCACCAGCAGCACCCTAAGCCGCAGCAGCAGCAGCAGCAGCAGCAGCAGCAGCAGCAGACGCTTCTCTGAGGAGCAGC